CACTTTTGAACTTTCCATTTAGAACACATTTTAGCTTATTCACAAATAGGCATTCATTACATTTATAACATAATTATAACAGATAAACAATGATAATCATATAAACAATTTATGAATTCTAATAAAAGGATAGAAATACATATCATTTCTCACCACGTAAGACCAACTAAAGAAGCCAACTCTATGAAATTGTTGGGTAATGATGATGTTGATAAGAGCTATCAAGGGTCTTAGCCACTACCGAGCGCAGACAAGAATGAAGAAACGATGACCTAGGCTTACTTAACTGGCAACTGGACAAAACAGATCGGCTTCAAGTCGAGCAGCACAAAGTTGAGTGGCTCGAGTCAGGATGGTGCAGAGCCAAGCAGCTCAGATCGGTTTTCGAGAAATTCAAACGGTTCATATCTAGGAAAGCTTGAGCGGGCCAAATCTGGGCGTCACGCAGTGGGTCACCCTCCGGGTGGTGCACAGCAGTTGGTTTCAAACGGCCCAAGTGGTACTGGTTCAGGTGGCTCGGGCTAGTTTTAGCTTGGGTTAGCGCAAAGCGATCAGTTCGGGCAGTTCACAACTGGTCAGGTTACGAGCGTAGCTAGAGGTTGCTGGGTTGGGCAACTAGCAGGTGTTGGTTCAAGCGACTAGATCGGTCCCTAGTGGCTCGGTGTAGATCAGTTTTCTGAGTGACTCAACGCGGAACGGCTTTTTGAGCGACTCAAGCAGAGTCGAGTGGCTTGGGGTCGGGGGCTTGGAGCAATTTGGCTTCAAGCGGGGTAACACAAAATGGCTCAGTTCCAGGCGGGGCAGGGCACGATGGTTCAACTCTCGGGCGGCTCAAGTTGTACAGGCAGCGGCTAGAAAGATTTGGTTCCAGCGACACAAAGCAATTCGGCTCGAGCTACGCAAGCTCGAGTGGCATTGGTTTCGGGCTAGATTTGGTCAAGTTGGTTCGGGCAGCCCGAACAGTACTGGTTTGGGCGATGCTAGCTTGGGCGACTGGTTCGGGTGGCTGGTTCATGCTGTTCGGGTGGCTAATTCAAGCGGCATCGGGCAGCTGGTTCAGGCGGTTCGGTTTTAGGCGACAACACAAGCGGCGCTAGCTTCGAGCGACAGCACAAACGGTGCCGGCTTTGGGCAACTATTTGCCGTGAAGGAAGAAGAGAAAAGCAAAAGGGAGAGGAGGGAAAGAGAAAGGAAAATGGAAAATGTAAGGAAAAATTGGGGGGCGGGGTTACTGGCTTCCTCTCGAAGCTTCATCATTTTTTTTTTCCCACCGGATGTTACACAAAGAGCTAAACACACGCAAGTCAGATGTACAGCCTTATATAAGTAACAAATTACATATATAAATATATATATATATATATACACAGAGAGAGAGAGAGAGAAGATGTAGTGAAAATAATTAATTACAGCTAATTTTCAAACTTGATAACACTTACTGACGTCCAAATTCAGCGTTCCGAACTTGATAGTAGGACAACATGATATTTCGTGTGAATGGGTTTCTTAGATATATCAGACTTGTAAAGTTATGTGGGGCCATTGATTGGGTTTACCGCATTCATGGCCTGTTTTAGGGGGTAATACATTGGTCTCTGTATAGGTTTGGGACCATGCTAAACTTTACTATTTGATACAATGGGTAGGCTGCAAAGATTATATTGAGATAGAGGGGATAGTTTTTGCATTAAAATTTGTCTTCTTTTATGGCCGAAAAAGATTATTAATTTGTAACACTCTTCTCACCCTTCTTGCCCTCATGCACTCGCACTCACTTTCACTCGGTCACACTCACATTCTCTCCTCTTAAAATTTATTTAGTTTTGCTAGTTTTTACAAATTTATTATCATTTATTTTATAATTTGAGACTAATTATATTCAAAATATTGGTAACTACCTTCTCTAAATATGCACTTTCATTCAAATCTGATTTTTTTTCCTTAATACAAAATTATTTGATTACTTATACCACATTTATTTATTATTTCTTCTCATTTAAGAAAAAAATAGAATAAGAAACAAATTCTAGAAGTATAGGATACTTCTACTTGTGAGTAATATTATTATAATTAAGTACAAGTTACTTTAAATGTTTTTCTGAATCTTTTATTAAATATAAAATTCTTGAATGAAATCTTTTTAAAATTTTTAAAATTTTTCAAAATTTTTCTTCTCATAAAACAAATTATAAAAATTACATATCAAATACTAATTTTATTACTTTTAAAAATTTTACACTATATTTGACAAATATACTCAACTCTTAACAATAACTAACTTCTATTAATTTTATTTTAATCCTTAACTTCCACTTCTAATTTTTTAAATATTTATAAACACCACCTTCCTAAATCGATTAAATCGTCTTTTCAAATTTAGGGACCACGGGAATGTGGCTCCCGTTAAATTCAGCATTCCGGTCCAAAGATTAGGGGTGTTCAAAATCGAACAAAACCGACCAGACCGAACCAAACTGACCACAAACCAAACCAAACCGATCACAATCGGTTATAAAATTTTATAAACCGATCGGTTCGGTTTGGTTTCGGTTTTGCCCCAAAATAAAACTGAACCGACCTTATTTGTTAATATATATATTATATAGATATTATATTTATATTTATATTTATATTGTATTTATATATATATTTATATTTGTATTATATATATATTTATATTTATATTAAATTTTTTTATAAATTAAAAAAAGTTAAAAAACCGATCATGTCAACCGAACCAAATCGACTTGAGTCGGTTTGGTTTAGTTCGGTTTGGTTCAATTTTTTGAAAAAAAAAAATATCATGTCTTATAAAAAAAAAAACCGACATGTTCGATTCGGTTTGATTTTGATCCAAAATCGAACCGAACCGAACCGAACCATAAACACCCCTACCAAAGATAGAGACACTGGATTGAGTCCTTGGACTTTTAGTATTGAATCATTCAAAATACAATGTGGGCCCCCCCTGTCGTGCTGTGAAGGGCATGCTTTTACAAAATTAAATAAATTTATTCAGGCGGGCAATTCATTGGTTTATGTACCTTTCATGGCGTGTTCTAATGCCTGGCCGATCCCGGGGGGCTCAGCCCCACGCGGGACTCTTATTTGCTACAACCTCTAAGGCCGAAAAGTTTGTGACCCAAAAACTCTAAAACAGGTTTTTAATTATGTGGATGATTTATTTCTATTCCATTTTATCTTTGATAATCATGAAACGCTTGATTAAAATATAGTATTAAATAATGAATCATATCACAAGATAGAGAATGCCATAAACCAAAGTGAATAGCTAGTGAAGAAGATAATTAATACATAAAGTAGATTATCCATAAATGGAACAGAAATAGAGTATTACAGTAGGAAAGCAGCAAATAAGCTTAATCCATAAAAGAAACTTCATTTGGGATTTGAGGCAGAGGAACTTCAACCACTCCTTCAAGCATCTAGCTTACCTTCCTAATTGTTGGCCTTAAAGATGCATCTTCTTGAATAAACAAAAGAGCAACCATCACAAATCTGTCTAATTTGTTCCTGTCATTTAAGGCCTCCACATCACCCTAACCAGAACATCCAACTTTCCTTCTTGAAAGCAAGCATAAGCCCAGTCAGTTAGAATTGCTTTCTCCTCTCCACAAACCTCAAACTCTCCAACATTTCTTCGACAACAAATAATCTCCAATAGTATGACAACAAAACTATGCACATCAACCTTTGTGGTGATTGGTTTGCCTTTGAACCACTCTGGTGCAACATATCCTTTTGTTCCCCTGATACCTGTAGTGGTATGACTTTGATTCATCGTCAAAAGTTTAGCCAATCCGAAGTCAGAAATTCAAGCAATGTAGTAATCGTCAAGAAGTATGTTTTGAGGCTTTATATCACAATGAATTATTTGGGTACTGCATTCCTCGTGTAGGTACAGAAGTCCTCTTGCAATCCGTATTGCAATTTGAGTCCTCTGATTACAACTGAGTTTGGTATCCCCAAAGAGGAATGATGCTAAAGTAACATTACTTAAGAATTCATATACCAACAATCTATTATCTCCTTCGTCACAAAATCCAAGTAATTGGACCATATTCTTGTGATGAGTCTTTCCAATTCCTTTCACTTCAGTTTTAAATTCCCTCTCTCTATCTTGAATTGCTACATCCAACCTTTTGACTGCAACAAAATTTCTGGTGCCACTGGTCACTATTTCTCCCTTGTGGACAATACCAACAGCACCCCTTCCAAGTTCTTCTCTAAACCCACCCGTAGCTTCTTCGAGCTCTGTGTGTGTAAAACAACGAAGATTTGTTCCTGCTTCACTATCAACATTTTGAAATTTATTATCTTTCTTATGGAAAAAGCTCATGCAAAAGGCAGCCACCAATATAACATCCACAAATAAAGAGCTACCAAGGAGTACTGACCCAACAAGAATTAAAGTTCCTTTATCCTTGTTTTTTGAGGCTGAAGATGAGGATTAATAGTTGTTGACGGACGATAACTTTTGTTGAACTTCAAGAAAGCCTTTCCATTCACATTCTCACTGACATCCTTTCTCCCCTTTGAAAGGGGCAATTTCTTCTTCCAACATTCACTATTTCTAAAAATGGCAACAGCACAGAAACAATCATACAGGCAAGAATTTCTACACATAATTTCAGAAGTAGGCTTCATGTGCTCATAATCACTTAATGGCCAATCAGTTTCTGTTAGCTCTTCAAAATCATAGAGATCTTCTGCGAATTTGCTATTGTCTTCTTCACAAAGTAGTGTAAATTTTGGCCTGCAGCTTCCATACTCGTTGTTAGGATCAAGCAATTGATAACCTGGGGACACTCACAAAGCGGTCTTCGGTCATCATTAAGTTGACAAATGCTGTTAAACCCACAAATCCCTCTACCTTGTGATATACGATTATCAAGACATATATTATTTGGTCGGATCCAAACAACAGTCCAACCAGGATTCCCAGAGAAAGACTTTGGATGATAATATTGGCCAAAAGCTCAATCAAAATTGAGAGTTGCTCTATGATAATGATCCTTTGTGGAAGGTACCAAATCCATCGTAAGATCCATTCTCTGGTTGTTTCTTTTCAATATGTACATTTGAGCCGTCTGGTTGAAGACTACTTGATAACCTGAATTAGCAGTGTTAGAAGAATCGTCAGTGCCACTATTGTAATAAGGCTCATAAGCAAAATTTGATTGTACATCTCTGGTATTGAGCACAAGATTCCCTTCCTGAAGTAGACGGAAGTGAAACCTTCCATGTGCGAAGTTGGTCTCAGATTGGCGAGAATAAAGAACCCCTCCAGAATTCATTGCTTGTGTAGGCAACATGGTATCAGTTGGATTTTGGAAACTCTCCCACTCTAGACTAGAGTCACTATGCAAGAGCATAAAGTTTCCAGTATCATTCATGAAACCATATGCAATAACATTCAAAACATTTTCTGGCTTCCACAATTCTATCCCTTGGGGTCGCGAAGAACAAGACCCTTTTCAGGATTTAGCTCTACTTTGGATCCTGATGAAACAGCCGCGCCTTGATTAGCGTACCAAACAACAGTTTTGTCTGGTAGTTTGTAAAACCAAATGGAAAGTAAGTAAAGGTTCTGATCATCAAGTTTGAGAAAGCCAAAAGCAAAATCATTGGAAGGTGAAAGCCAGGGAGTGGCCTTTTCAGATGCCGTGATTGTTGCACCCACTTCCACCCTGCATTGTTTTGAGCAAAGCTAGAAGATGGAAGAAGAAACAGTATAAAGAAGATGATATGACCAAGAAGCGAGTCCACAATCGCAAGGTGTAGGAAACTAAGAGAGCAGTCGATGAATTGAAGGTTGGCTGAAAGTGCAAAGCAATTTCAAGTAGCGATAATAGAGTTCTAGGAGAAGACTTGGAGCTAAACTCTTCCTCTCTCTAGAGTCTAGTATTCCTAACTTCCAGGATACTAACTGAAGGACTTAGTTATCTCAATTAATACGATATATTTATGGCATATAGTTGACTCGAACATTATTATCCCGTGAAGAAGGGTTGGAAAAGAAAAACCATTAAGTGAAAGCTTTTATTCTTTCTCGATTTTTGGCAAAGCAACTGTAACCATTGCAATTAAAAGCAAACAAACAGTAAGCACTTGAATGAATTAGTGGGTCCTACATAATAAGCTAAAATAGAGTTAGATATATTATATTAATTATCAAAAGATGAAATGAACTTGACACAACCAGCCATGAGGAAATAAAATCCCAAAACCATTGAGTATAATGGTATGTGTCTTATTTTCTCACCCTTTTTATTTTCTTAGACTGCAATAAAAATAATTAACCATACACAAGGTGCCTGAATGGATTTCTCAAGATTGTCAAACTTGAAGAGTTACGTGGGCCCAACAAGCCATGTTACAAGGAGAATACAAGCCATGTTACAAGAAGAATTCTACGGTAGTGTACCGGTACATTCCCTCCCTCTCCTCGCATTTACATCGAAAATGGTAAAAAAAATTTGTCATTTTCGAAACAAATGTAAGAGGGAGATCCAGATTGTACCAGTACCCTCTCTTTTGAGAGGGTACCGAGTGCTCACCATGTTATAATAGTAAATAAAATTTAGTATGGCCATTGATTGTTTTACCTGACTTTCATGCTTGTTTATGTACTGACATGGAACGCAGGACCACATGATGCTTAAGCCTGAATGGATTTCCCTAGATTATCAAACTTGAAGAGTTATGTAAGCCCAACATGCCGAGTTACAACAGTACGGTGGTGTTTGCAAAAAGTTTATAAAGTGATTTTCTTTTCAATAATTGAAAAGTATTTTGAGGTGTTTAGAAAATAGTTTTTAACTTGTGATTGTTTAGGGAAAAAAAATTCAAATAGTTCAAAATCTAAGCTAGGAAAGAGAAGTTTTTAGTTTCTGATGACAATGTTCTAAATAGAGAGAAAATGTTTTGAAAATTGATTTACCATTTTTGTTCTTAAAATTTTGTCAATATTCCAAAATTATCCTTATCCTCTGCAAATTTTGTCTGTCGAGAGTGAATCATCTGCACAGGAGCAAGGGCTTTCTCTGGAAATTGCCTACCTCCAATGACTATGACCACTGAACCACGAATCACAGTCCAGCATGTGAATTAAGCCCAAGCTTCATAGTCCGGCACGTGAATCTTGGATCTGGAAATGATCTAGATTTGGTGATGGAGAAGGGGGCAGAGAGGAGTCAACCAAAAATCAAAATTTGGAAAATATTTTTCTATATAAAAAAATATTAATATATATTTATATATACATATACGTGTGTGTACATACACACACATACATACATATACATATAAATATATATATGTAGATATATTTATATTGTATATAAATATATAGTTATATATATATATGTACACACACATACATATATGCACATGCACATATATACTGTGCATGTGCACGTGCACATACATATTTATATATATACATGAAATATATATATATAATATGATATACACAAATATATATATACACACACGCACATACATAGATGTGCATCTACATACATATTTGATAATAAATAGTTAAATAAATAATTTATTTAAATATTTTTTAAATAATAATAAATCAAATTTAAAACTAAACTAAACCCAACCAAACTAAAAGTTTAGGTTTGATTTGGTTTAGTTTAGTTTTGATTTATAATTAAATTGGTTTAGTTTGGTTTCTAAAGTATAAAAATCAAAAAACCAAAAAATAAAACTCAATTATCAAAAATTAAACCAAAATTACAATTTGTACACCTTGTAAAAAATTAGTGAATAAAAAAAATTAAAGATTACTGGTTCATGAGACCTTTTACCCATAAAACAATAAGCATAGTAATTAAGACAAATAGAATTTATTTGTCTCATAAAAATTATGATAAAATAAAAGTGAAAGAATGGTTATATTTTCTCATCATTTAAGTTTGTTAATTTGGATAAGATGTGAAAATGCAAGGGTGATATTGCTTAATAATTCCCCTCTTGTAGGCCGTTGATAAGTTGTATTTTAATTTAAATTCGATTTGAATATAAACCAAATTTTATAATTTAAATTCAATTAAAATATTCGATAGATCATATTCAATTACAGATATATGTAATTCAAAATAAATATATTAGATATGAAATTAAATAATCTAATCTGTTAATGATCTGAATCTGAATTTTAATAATATTTTATTAAACTAATAATCTTATGTATGCAATTTTAATAGATTTAAAATTCTAAAGTTTAAATTGATAAAATCAGAAAATTTATCAATTAATATAATTAATAGAATAGAGTTAAGGGATTTAAGTGTAAAAAAATATTATTTTCTTGTCAGATTAAATTTTGTTATCAAATTTCAAATTATTTATTGAATTCAAATATAATTTAATAAACAAAAATTTTATAAAATTTCAGATCAGATTCATATGTGTAATATTTAATTATATTCAAATTCAAATTTGACTAATTTAATCAAAATCTGATATGTTGACAATCTTACCCTCTTGTTTAGATAGAGTACATGAAACATATAAAAGAAAATGGGTGATGTTTCATTTTTTAAAAAAAGAATTACTTAATGAATCTTTTAAAAAATTTAAAAAGTTCGTATTCCCTGTGTTTGGAAGTGTTTTCTGTTTTTTAATCTTGTCTTTTACAATTTTCATCTTCAAAATTTTTGATTACTTTTGAAAATTGATACTAAAAACCAAGAAACCTTCGACTGTTTTCATTTTGGTTTAAAGTTGGCCTTTGAAATTCTAAATATATCCTCTCATTATTGGTCTTTAAAAATAAGTTTTTGTTTTAAAAAGTAATAATATCTGATCTTGGTTTTTGACGGAGGCCACAAATTGCTGCCATACTCACAAGCTTTAAGGTCAAAGTTTTGTAATTCTAAAACCAAATTAAAAAATTTAAATTATTTAAAAATAATTAAATAATTAAAAATTATCCTACTAAAATTTAGGCAAGGTAATTTTTATTTAATTTTTTTCATTTCAAATTATAAAATGCAGGATCATCATAAGATAGAGTGATGAGAAATAGTGAATACTAACTGAAGAACACAGGATTTGGGTTAAATTATATGTTACCCGAAACCTGAAAGGACCAAAACCTAAAATGACCCCACCAGAATTGGACGATTCTGAACC